GTTCATGGGACCACACACGTCTGTGTGCACCAACTCTAATTGTTCTTTGGCTCTATCTCCTTTGGCTGAGTAAGCCCTTCGAGTCATCTTTCCTTCAATACAGGATTCACAAGTTGGCATAGGCTCCTCTGCCTCACCAGGTAATAAACCTTCTTTAACCAACCTTTGAATCCTATTTTGATTGATGTGACCCAATCGTAGATGCCAATGATACAATGAGTTTGGAGAAACTGCTTTTCTTTTAACATTCAATCTAGATGAAGTTGCATTTAATTCATAATTTTGCATTTGATATGAGCTAGGAGTTAAAACATATAGATTATCTTTCAATGCACCAGAAGTTATAACACAACCATTTAATTTAATTAAAACATTTTTTCCAAAAGTAAAAATATAATTTTTGCAAACCAACGAAGAAACTGAAATTAAATTGTGCCTAACATTTGGCGCATAAAGACAATCTTCTAAAATAAGACTCCTCCCACTATCAAACTGCATATGAACCACTCCCACTGCTTTAGCTTCCACCTTGGCATTAGATCCCATATGCAAGTATATCTCTCCTTCATTGAGGCTTCTGGACTCCTGGAATCCCTGCAATGAATTGCAAACATGATTAGTGGCTTCAGAATCAATGCACCAGGAATCTATAGATTCAACCACATTACATGCCTCAACAATGAATATACCTTTTCCTTTGCCTTGTGTGCGAAGTATTGGGCAGTTAGGTTTCCAGTGACCCGGTTGACCGCAATGGAAGCAGTTTCCTTCGCCTTCAACCCGCACTTTCTTCTTTTCCTTATCCTTTTGGATTACTTTGTTTGGCACAACCACAGTTTTGGCACCATCCTTCTTCTTTTTCTTGCCCCTCCTCTTGGGCCTAGAAGTAGATGGTCCAGCAGACTGAGTGTAGTTGATAGATGCACCCTTGCTTTTGTTTATCCCTTCAAAGGTTACCAACTCATTCAATAGTTCAGCGAGTGTGTACTCAAGCTTATTCATGTAATAATTAACCCTAAAAGAGTTAAATGAGTCTGGCAATGAAGCGATAATCATGTCAACCTGAAGTTCACCATCCAAGTTGCATCCAAGGATCTCCAGTTCATTTAAAAAACCAATCATTTTTAAAGCATGTTCCCGAATTGAAGTACCTTGGACCATCTTAATGGTCATCAAATTTGTCATAGCATTTTGGCGTGCGCTCTTACCAATTTGCCCAAACATTTCCTTAAGGTTAAGCATAATGTCTGCAGAAGTGAGATATTGAAGATGTTGACTTTGGAGTACATTCGAGAGTGAAGCAAGAATGTAGCACCTAGTCATCTCATCTGCTTTATTCCATTTCTTAAATACTTCATGCTCCTCAGGAGGATCCTCAGGCAAAGGTGGAGAAGGTCTAGGAGTAGTAAGCACATAATTCAACCCCTCATATGTGAGTACAATACCTAGTTGCCTTTTCCAATCGATATAATTAGGTCCAGTTAATCGATTTTCTTTTAGTATGTTTGCAAGTGGACTGAATGGACTAGTCATGATAAATCTGAAAATAAAAGCATTCATACAATAAATAAAGTGAATAATAATAATCATGCAAGTATAAAACAATTAATTAATTGTGGGTCCCTTAACCACATTGCATGAAAAATCGGACAATCAATATGCCAATAACTTATCCGGTTGGCGGAATTCATTATTGCTTATTGACGAGAATAACTCATTATTTCCATATCTCTTTAGACAATGCCTTATCTAAATATGAAATAATTCCCGATTAGATTTAGCCTTTCTAAAATCACCTAGTATAGACCGCTCCGTTGGGGAGCTAATACTATTGATTTTAGATTGAGTGTATAACATAATTAATGCTCCAACGGAAACACAAATATTAAATATATTGCCATTAATAGCTTAGACTCTTTAAATCATGCGTAGGGCCTTATTTTTAAAGATCTAACTATAATGGTTATTTAATAAATATATTTTCGTGAGACAACCATTCTTGTAATCTAGACTCTTTAAATCATGCGTGGAGCCTTATTTTTAAAGATCTGATCATAATGGTTATAATTACGAAGGCCATGGGGTAATGTATAAAAATCCCCGCTCCCACTCAATTTTTAATAATATAAAACTAGGGTTTTTAATTCATGATTTAATGCATGCAAAACGCCTTGATTTTAATCCAATTAAATTTAGAAAATATATGGATTTTAAATGATTCACTAATCTTTAATTTGAGGCAAAAAATAATTTTTAAAAATAATTTTTCTGTTTCCCAATAAATGCCCTCAAATTAATTAGCAATCTAATCCAATTTATCTTCATAATTTAATTAATATAAATCAAGCCATTTAATTAAAAATCATGGATCCAATGCATGAACAATTATAACAACTATTAAATTATTCCATGCATCAAATAATAGACAGAAGCAATATAAATGGCCAATGGATTCAGCTTTTAACATTTAAAAACTATTCTTGCTGTACGGGCATCCTTCAACTGTCTGTAAACACCCATAGGAAGCTTGTACGCGTCAGGAGAAGCAAAACGCCGCTTGGAACGAGCCCGGAGGACCCCACACGCGCTGGCACGCGCCTAGGGCAAGCTGCACGCGCTCCCACGCGCCCCCACGCGCTGGCACGCGCTTGGGGCGCGTGGAATGCACCCTCACGCGCTCCCACGCGCCTGGGGCGCGTGGGACGCGCCTCCACGCGCCTTCCCGCGCGTGGAGTGTACCAACTCCTTGGCTGGCGCGTGAGATCCACGCGCCAGCTTGTCATTGACCAGCCCACTCCTGGCGCGTGTGGAACACGCGCCAGGCTCACCAAGCCACTGCCACACCTGATCCGGGCCACCTCCGACGCCTCTTCTCGCCGCCGGCGAAGCTCCGGCCACCGGAAAAACGCCGAAAAAATTCCAAAAAATCCGGAAAAATCCCAGAAAATTAAATTAAGCCTCAAAAAATTCCCGAAAAATTCGGAAAAATTCCAGAAAATTACTGAAGCATAATTTAACCCTTTCGGACCCTCTTGAAGCTTCATAGCATCATTCGATGAATATTACATGGCTTTAATTAATACTTACAATTTGAAATACAATGGAAAAAATTAAATTACATCATTGAATTTTCAAATGGCTAAAACAAAGCCTTAATTACATTCATCCAAAAATAAAATTACATTCTATATACCTATAAGCTTCATCCATGGCCCAAACACACATCATCATCCATTCACAATTATACATACATCAACATGTATTAATATATATCAACATAATAAATCATACATCAACATATATCAATAATTTTATATATGTATATATAATTTGGATCCATGAATATGATTTTTATAAACACATGTTCTCTAGTAATGAATCAAACCATGTGCTCTGATACCATTGTTGGGAAACGTGCAAATTTTTAAAACTTTTTGAGGGATTTGCAATCATAGATCTTGATTCATTACATGGAGACAAGTTTTATGCAAAGATAAATAAAAGATGATGCATAATTCAATAAACAAATTGAATACTCACATCAAAGGTCTGAGTAAACCTTTTGAACTTTCCTCTAAAGTGAATGTTCTCACTTATTGTAGATCCCTTTAGCAAGATCCTTTCTCCTTCTTTTTGATTATTATCTTCCCTTTAGGAATCACCAATATGCCTTGATGAATGACCTTGGAATCTAGGCTGGTGGTAGCCTCCTTTAGAAGAGAAACAAAACCCTAAAATCTAGAGAGAGAAAGTGTATTCCTTTTTCTTGTTCTCCAAGTCACACCTAAAATATACATGAACTCATGTATATATAGGCAAAATAAAATAAGAATAAGGAAACAATAAATCATTCTCCATCTCTAATTCAACTTTCTCAATCCTAACATGACTCCAATATCAACTTGGGCTATTGGTGAGAATCCTTTTGGGCTTACTATTTTCTTGGCTCTTATAAATTAATAATTGGTCCGGTCCATTAAACCATGGACCCAATTCAATTAATTCATAAATTAATTTCTACTCCACTAAAAGAAATTAATTGCACTCCAATTAAATAGTAAATAACCTCTAAGTCAATGTTGCACTTTGACCCCTCTATGCTTAATTATTTATCGGATAATTAAAGCCATCAATCCGACAACATAATTAATATAATTATTTTGTTACCTTTGATTATTTCCGGCTCGATCACAATAAAATATTTATTTGACAAAAAAATAATAATAATTTATTAAATAAATATATATATAAAACATTTGTCTAAAACATACGAAGGCCTTCGAATTTAATTTGTGATCAACCATAATCAAAACAAAATAAATACAAATAGCACTGATGCAAATATTGAGAATATAGACCTCTAATTATTAATTACATAACTACCCAAAGTGTCGATCTAAGGATCCCGAGGTATCCGCCGAGCAAATCAAAGTAATTATTAATTAATAAAAGAGTCTATACTTCTCTCATGCTTGAGAGTCAAAAGCCATGACTGTGATAGAGAGCAATTGCATACGACAGCTCTCGCAATATATCTCAATCTATCGTGGACTCGGTTTAAGTCTTAACTAATTAAATGTCCATCCATAATTACCGACTTTAAACCATTTATGATTACTAATTTATATCATAGTATTAATTGCCATTACATACATATATAAATATATTTTGTAATCAAGCGGACACCATCAATTCCATAAAGAATCGAAAAATAATACATTCCATTCACCAATTGTATAATGCTTTAATAATAATATCCAGACAAGAAACCATGACTTTTACAATCCAAAATTAGAATTTGCTATGCTAGGGCACACATATTCTAACAAGAACCTCATGGTGTTAGTGACAGATAGAATACGATGCCATGCTTTGCTTCTAGCTACAATAATCCTTATCAGTTATCAAAAGAATCCATATAAGATTGAAACTGGCACTTCAATTCTTCCTCAACAATCTAGACCCTAATCAGCTACACTCTCTCTCTAGTTTTTGCTAGATTCTGCTGGCTGGAAAAGGGATGGGTCGGGCAATCGGAATCGATTTGGGGACCACGTACTCGTGCGTCGGAGTGTTTTGCCCATTCCGTGAACGCGTCGAGATAATTGTCAATGATCAGGGTAACACCATAATACCGTCCTATGTCGCCTTCAACGACACCGAGCGCCTCATCGGCGATGCCGCCAAGTATCAAGTCCTCGGCAACCCTATCAACACCATCTTCGGTACAAATACAAATATATTTTGTGTTATATTATTAAGTACGGTTTAAAAGTAGATTATGTAGTAGAGGTTTAGTCTTTAATATATTTTAATTCATAGATATGAACACTAAAAATTTGTTTTCATTTATAGTAAATAATTAATTTCGGATTTCGGATTTGGATTGATGATACCCCATCTTATCCCATGATCCGTGCTCGTAAAGCTCCCATAACTAAACTCCTTCAAAAAGAAGAGTTAATTTGTGGTTATAATTCCACTGTATTCCGAGGCTAGGGGAATCATAATCCATTTGTAGTTTGGACAACTGGAGTTTAACTTGGAGGACCTTTTCGATGTTTGGGTCCGACAGTGAAATGAAAAAATTTGGTTTGATTTTAAACCAGATGAGGTTGTTAACCAAATTAGATTGAACACCGCCGATAAGTGCATCAACGGGTTGATGGAAACGATTATCCATGAGGAGTGCAATTAGTGGCTGATCAGTTCCACGTCGGAACAGCGAAGTGATTTTGATTTGCACTAATCCAATATGAATATAACGAGCGATAGGATTTTGTTGTTTCCAGCGCTCAACCTTATCCTTGCTGAGGATATTAAAACCACATTGACCATTTGCTGTATAGTCAATGGTTGTATTTCCACTGAATTGTTCCAAAATTCGTTTGGAAAAGATGGCAAAACGTGAAGTTTTATAAACTTCTTCTTTTTTGATTCGTTGAAGTTTATCGAACTGAATCAATTGTTCGTTTGTGAACTGAACTTCTTCTCCAATGATGTCACTAAGCTTGATGTTAGTAGTTTCATCGGTGTTAGCAGGAGTGTGGTTCATCATACAGATAGTGTCAATATCTGATTCGACTTCTGTATCACTTGTAGTGGTACTGGAAGAGCTACTGGTATAAACACTGCTTGAGAGTTCATACAGAATAGTAGAGGGATCGGTGATATCGCTACCATAGACAACACAGAGGTTATCGGTCTGTAAACGTTTAACCATTTTGGAAGCCTTTTTGCCTTTTTGGGGGCAATTAGTGGCATACTGACCAGCTTCATTGCAAATATAACATTTACAATCTTTTTTGGTTTCAACGGATTTTGAAGCCTTGGAGGATTTTTTGGTTCCTTTTTCTTTTTTCCCTGTGAGGGGGGCTTGGAAGAAGTAGCTTGGGTAACATACTTCTTAGAGGCTTTCGGGCGTCGCCCTTTCCATTTTTTCCAGCGAAAGGTTTTTCATTGGGCAGGTCGAGAAGGGGTAGCTTTATAAGGTGCGCAACCGATTTTCCAGGTCTCTTGGAGAATCTTGTCGCAACAGCGTTGGCCTTCAGCAGTGCCATTGATCTGGTTTTTAACCTGTTTTTTGGCCTTGGTCTCAAGACATTTTTCATTGATGAGACGATATACAAAATTTGTTCGGAAACCGATGTTATCAGGTTTTTGGATGCGAACAAGGAAATCGGGATAGCCTTTAGCTGCAAGTTCATCCCATGGATTTGGAAGTTTGTGAAAGAATTGGGGTAACCAATGTTCGATCGCATTTTGGGGAAGTCTACGGAAGTATTTGGTGAATAGCTTAACGTAGTCTGGAAAGCGGCAAATATCACACAATTCGAGATCATACCATCAAAATTAATTTTTTTCCTGCTTTGTTTGTTATTCATTCTTGCAGTAGTCATTTCAGCACGGAAAGAAAAAATTGATATAATTATGTAAAAAACTAATGTGATATATTTTATAGATCATAGATGACACATGAATATTTATGATGGGAGAGAGATAATATTTGGACTTTTTACTGCTTTAGTATGTTTTTGGTTCCTAAAGTCTGTGTTTTTCTGAATTCTAGATGCTAAACGATTGATTGGTAGGAAGTTCAGTGATGCATCAGTTCAGGGTGATATGGAGCACTGGCCATTCAAGGTCATTGCTGGTCCCAGTGATAAGCCAATGATTGTGGTAAACTACAAGGGCAAGGAGAAACAGTTCGTTGCTGAAGAGATCTCATCCATGGTTCTCACTAAGATGCGTGATATGGTTAAGAATGCAGTTGTCACTGTCCCTGATTATTTCAATGACTCTCAGCGTCAGGCTACTAAGGATGCTGGAGTCATTGCTGGCCTCAATGTCATTCGTATCATCAATGAGCCCACTGCTGCTGCAATTGCTTACGGTTTTGACAGGAGAGCTGCAAGTGTGGGCGAGAAGAATGTGCTTATCTTTGACCTTGGCGGTGGCACTTTTGATGTTTCTCTTGTCACCATTAAGGCGACTGGTGTCATTGAAGTGAAGGCGACTTCTGGTGACACTCACCTTGGAGGAGCAGACTTTGATAACCGCATGGTGAACCATTTTGTTCAGGAATTCAAGAGAAAACACAACAAAGACATCAGTGGATGCCCTAGAGCTATTACGAGGTTGAGAGCTGCTTGTGAGAGGGCAAAGAGGACTCTTTCATCAGCTATCTGGACAACCATTGAGATTGATTCATTGTATGAGGGAACTGATTTCTACCCAAGCATTACTCGTGCCAAATTTGAGGACCTAAACATGGATTTCTTTAGGGACTGTGTGGAGAGTGTTGAAAAGTGTTTGAGGGATGCCAAGATGGACAAGAGCAGTGTCCACGACGTAGTCCTTGTCGGTGGCTCTACTAGAATTCCAAAGGTTCAGCATCTATTGCAGGACTTCTTCAACGGGAAGGAGCTGTGTAAGAGCATGCACCCAGATGAGGCCGTTGCTTATGGTGCCGCTGTGCAAGCTGCAATCTTGAGTGGTGAGTACCAGGAGCTGTCGCTGTTGGATGTAACCCCCCTATCCCTTGGCATGCAAATTGTTGGAGGTGTCATGGCTCTTGTGGTTCCAAGAAACACTACAATTCCTACCAAGAAGGAGAAGGTGTTCACTACCTCCGCGGATAACCACTCTAGTATATTGTTTGAAGTGTACGAGGGTGAGAGAACAAGAACAAGCGACAACAACTTGTTGGGCAAATTTGTGCTCTCTGGCATTCCTCCTGCCCCTAGAAAAGTTCCAGTTATCAACGTCTGCTTTGACATTGATGCCAATGGTATCTTGAATGTCTCGGCTGAGGACAAGAGCACTGGTCAAAAGAACAAGATCACTATCACTAATGAAGAGAACAGGTTGTCCAAGAAAGAGATTCAGAAGATGCTTCAGGAAGCTGAGAAGTACAAGTCTGAAGATGAGGACTACAAGAAAAGGGCTGAGGTCAAGAATAGTTTGGAGAATTGCGCGTATAAGATGAGGAAAGCTGGTAATCTCTCACAGGCAGACGTGGTGAAGATCGAGGATTCTATTGATGAGGCCATACAGTGGATGGACAGGAAGGAACTTGAGAGCATCTGCAACCTCACAATTTCCATGGCTGAAGATGGACCCTCAGCCGGTGGAAGTGGCGCAGGCCCCAACAATATTTGTTCTTTTCATAAAAGAAAAGAAGAAAAAATGACAGTATGAGCCAAATGAAGAGGAAATGAAATAGATGAAAGACTAACCTAACCTGCAGAGGTAATGCTTGTGGAACTCACCACTATAGTCAACATTATCTAGTGGGTGAACGCGTTCTTGGTTGAACCGGCACAAGCTTTAAATCAACTATATATGTGGAAATGATAAGAGAAATTAAGTATTTATTAAACTATCAAAATTTAGCGTGCATTATGTTGGTAGGAGGATGTAGTGGCTTGCCTGATTCTGTGACTTGAACTCTAGTGACAGTGCATTGGTGGCATTGAGAAGCTGCAAGGAGTATTAGTGTTAGGAGAAGAAGCTCCAAAACTTGTGTTCTCTTCATTTTAGGCACGAGCTTGTGCCGGGTGGTAAATAAATACACAACTTAAGCTATGAAGAATTGTCCAAAGCATGAAAAAACCATTTATAACTCTGATTATGTTTAGTGAATCATGGCTTGGTTTGAAAATTTGGATGTCGTGTTAAGGGTGTTGGGGCCATCCAAGGCCCTACATATTTCGAATTTCGAAAAATGACAAGGCCATAAAGTGTTGGTTTCTTGTCATTGTGGGTTGACTTCTATTTAGGTGATCGAATTTTGCTAGTGTATCACAAGGCCATCCACTCTTGCACGCATTGTACTTCAAAAGCTGAATTAATCCCTTTTATAAACAGCTGTGTCGGGCTAATTCGTCAAGATTTGGCAATAATGAATTAAATCTAGTTTAGTAGGTACTAGCATCCCACTGCATATATATTGAATTTGACAGAAATCTGATTGTGCAGTGTAAAGCTATTACACTAGCTTCTGATTGATTTTTTTAGTATTTCTTTACCTTTTTATGCTTTGAATTAGTTTGTACAGAGACCATTATTCAAATATACATGAAGAATTTGAAACCCTTGGCATTGACATTCAAAGGAACATGTCCTCCTATTTTTTTCTTGTAATTTTCTGGTCATAAAATTGAGTCCCACTTAGAAATCAATCATCAGTTGTTGCAACCTCCCAAGCAAATTAAAAAATATTTACACTGGACGCCCCAAACTGTCTCTACTTCGATGCTTGACGAGACGGGTTTAGAAAAATACCGAACTGTCCCTACTTCAATGCAGAACTAGACGAGTTTAGAAAAATATTTTTATCTATAGGATCCCGTCCCAAACTCCCCATGTCGAGATCCCTAGTAATACTATATTTATAAATAGTTATTAGACGTATACAATTTATGAGTTTAATTTTTATATTTTTTTTAATTAAGGGCTGTAATGTAGCTCTATCTCTCAATGTAAAAGGCGAGTGATTCTTCATGCCACTATAACCTGCAAATGAGTGTGATTTTTTTTTTTTTTTACTACCGCCTTTACCATGATTTAAAACTTGAGATCTGAATATGATAAAGCTTAATTCGTTTATTTCCTTCTTGTAAAAGAACTAATTCATTGGACCTAAGGTTACGTTTGGTTGGACAGAAGTAGCTTGAAAGAAAATTTTAAATTTTTGTGTGTTTGTTTAGTGTGAAAAGGAACATTTTTAAGAAACTAGGATTCCCCAGATCTGTGTGGTTAGCATCAAATAATCAGAAAGAAAGGAGAAGAAAAATAAAATATTTAAATTTTTTGGAAGTTTGGTTAGAGGGAAAGTAAAAGTTTTGAGGAAAGTAGGATTCGTGCATTTGAAAAAACTGTTGGAAACGGAGGCATTAAAAACATAAACTTTGGATGAGGTTTAGAATCCGCTAATAATTTTTTGCGGATCTCTAGATGAGCGCATTTTTCTCCGCAAGGGGATGAACATAGTATATTTACTTTCTCAAATCCGTTTCCGGGTGGGTGAATGAGAAATTAGCTCCAAAGTGTGTGTTTTGATTAGCCTAAATGAGTATGCAAAATGTGGGAAGTGTTTTTCCCACATGGAAAAAATGTTGAAACTAATTGAAATTTAAATATGCCAAATTTGGGCTTAGGCTTGGGCCTAATTGTAAAGTCCAATTATTCTTTTTACTAAATAGAATCTTGGATTGGGCCTTTAATTTTAGGCTGGGCTTATTTAAATGGGTGGTTAGTTTTTGAATTTAAATTAAAAGTTTTTTTTTTTTTTTTTTTCCAAAGGGTTGCATCTATTTCTAAAGGGTTGCATCTGTTTTCAAAGAGTTGCATCTGTTTCTAAAGGGTTGCAACTCAAAACCAACTGACATAACTATTCATGTGAACCATTGCAACCTATTGGAGTGGATGTGTCTATTGATGAACAGACACCATGTGAACCATTGCAACCAATTGGAGTGGATGTGTCCAATGATGAAGAGATACACCCAATCCGAAAAGGCACATTAATTAAAAACTACTTTTTAATTTTTTTCCAAAGAGTTGTACCCAATTTGAAAAGGCACCTTATTGCCTATAAATACCCCCCTTTGGATCATTTGCAAATCAATTCATTTTCATTTTCTTCTATTTCCCTCTTTAGACTTGAAGTCAACCCAAGTGGGTTCAAACCATAAGTTAAGTGGTCCAAACTACTTAGACCCTAATCCAATTTTATCGAGCCATATTAAGATTGGTTCGAACCATTTGGTTCGGATTGCACCCAATTCAACATTTATATAGTATAGATGTATTTTTGAGTTAGAGAGAGTATTACACGGAGGGGGTTCGCCGTATCCACGAGTTTGTAGTGCTGCTACTGGTGGATGTAAACTGTTGTATCCTGGGAGATAGACGCCACTGAGTCCGTTAGCACCATAGCGGGGCGAATCTATCTTAAAGACATAATATCCAATACTAGCCTTAGTCCAGGTCCTTTATTTATTTATTATTATTTTATTACTTTATTTTGCATATTTAATTAAATATAGAGTTGCATATTTAATTAATAATTTCTTAACATATTGTTAATTATCTTATGACATATTAGTATAAGGTTTGTTATATCTTAAATGTCACATGAAACGTATATTTTACCAACAATCTTAAGACAGAATCACTCATTGCGTATGTTTTATTATATACTTCTATTTAAGATATAAACAAGTAGAGATTATACTAATAAATGAGATATAGTAAAATAATGTTATATACATTATTATATGATAATATACTAAATATTGACGTGTTCAATATTATATGAAATTTAAGCATGTTTTATTAGTAAATTATTGAATTATTTTAATTTTGTAATATAATAATATGTAGTATATTATATTATCTTAAATTTGTGTCAACTAGAGATAGAAAAAGGTATTTTACTTTATTTTGCATATTTAATTAAATATAGAGTTGCATATTTAATTAATAATTTCTTAACATATTGTTAATTATCTTATGACATATTAGTATAAGGTTTGTTATATCTTAAATGTCACATGAAACGTATATTTTACCAACAATCTTAAGACAGAATCACTCATTGCGTATGTTTTATTATATACTTCTATTTAAGATATAAACAAGTAGAGATTATACTAATAAATGAGATATAGTAAAATAATGTTATATACATTATTATATGATAATATACTAAATATTGACGTGTTCAATATTATATGAAATTTAAGCATGTTTTATTAGTAAATTATTGAATTATTTTAATTTTGTAATATAATAATATGTAGTATATTATATTATCTTAAATTTGTGTCAACTAGAGATAGAAAAAGGTATTTCATTCTTTTTATCAATGATTGCACAAGATGATGCTATCTATATCTGTTACGAAGCAAAGATAAAGCCATAGAAATGTTTAAACGTTATAAAAATGAGGTTGAGAATCAACTCGACAAGGTGTTAAGAAATGATAGAGTTCGTGAATACGAATCATCATTTGCTGATATTTATTTAGAACATGGTATTATTCATGAAGAAATGATGAATGATATGTTAACAAGTTCTGGTTTAACTCAGAATTTGTGGGGGGAAGTTTTGTTTTCCGCAAATTATGTTATCAATAAAATACCTCAAAAGAAACTAATGTGACATCATATGAATTATAGAAAGGTCAAAAAACCTTCCAATAAATTCTAGAAGTGTGGGGGTGTCTAACTAAGTTTGCAGTTCCTACTCCTAATAAAGTTAAAGTGGGACCTATAATGTGACGACCTTGTAGGTGAGTGTGTCGTGGACGAGTGCAAGAGGCACTAACAGACTACCACACTAGGTGAACTACAAGTGCACAGTCTTACATTGCTTAGGTAAGGGAAATGTGAAGTGCTTTATGTGGTAGTGTTATCTCCAATTGGTATCAGGTCTTCTGAGATTGTAACGACCCGGTTATTTGCCTTCCTTTCCTTTTTCCTAAAATTTTACGGATAAATTTTTTCCGTCTAATTTTCTTTTTTGAGCTCTATTTCTTATCGCTTAGTATCATCTTGAGTGCTCGGAAATGGTTTCCGAGACTCTTTTCCGTGGATTGACAACTTCCTTTGAGGACTGAGTCATTTCTGTATTTTTACTTTTCGGACACTATGCGTCTTTCGTCCTTTTCCCTGTTTCGTCTTTTTCCCTATTCTGTCTTTTCCCCATTTGTCACTTGTTTGGCAAAACCTCACTTTTCATGCTCAGAGTTAGTTTTTGACTTCATGTGCCTTCATCTTGAGTGGTTTCCTCGAAATATGTATCTTTACTTTTGCAAGAAAGTATTCTGATTGCTCCCGGTGTCCATAGGGGCATAGATGCACAATTCTTCAGAATCTTTTTCATTTCTTGGGGTGTTTTTGGTAAATATCTTTTGAAGATATTTTATTTCAAGGACATCTAAGAAAATATCTTTTGAAAGATATTTTCATTCTGGGGCAGTTTCACAGTTAACCCTTTTTGTAGGGGCCATTGTGCAATTAACGAAAGTTATTGCAAAATGTCTCGTCTGGAGCCTGGATCCTCGTATGGGATTCATTTTCACATTTCGTCCAGTCATGGACTCTTGGAATTTCTTTCTGCTCGTTTTTTTTCAGTTTCAGAATTTCTGGACTCGGTTGCCGCCGAACTTGTTCGAGGCATAACTTTTGTTCGAGGCTTGGTTTGCGACGCCGTTTCTTCCGTTGTTCATATTTTCTCATTTTGAATCTTTTTTGTTCACGGAGTTTTACCGTTTGAGCGCGTTTGTTCAAAATCCACTTTTCTGGACCAGGCGGGGCCCTTTCGGGGCACTTTTTGAGACTTACTATAAATATGGGACTTAAGAACAAAAAAATCATTTTTCTTCATCTTCTCCACCCTCTTGGCTGGCAGTCATGGGAGCTCCTTGGCTGCCACCCTTTCTCCTTCTCCTCCACTTGATTTCCTTGGTAGAAATCCTTCGACCTTTACATTTATTGTTCCCCTCGACGTGTTCTATCATTCCTTCTTATTAGAATTCATTTCTTGAGTTTGGGTTTGAGGTCAAGTTGTGATTTTCATGGGGCTTCCTTCGGATTCATGTAGATCGTACTGTCCCCGACAAAACCCTTTGGTGGATTCAGAACACTTTTTTTTTCAATGGGGATTTGAGGTTTTCATCTCAAATTGAGGTAGGGGGTGTTATAATTTACTTTTTTGCTATATAACATGCTTGTGATGCTTATACAACTTGATTACATGCTTGGATGTAAAATTTAGAGTGTTACCCAAGAATTGACTCTAGAAGGGGGGTGAATAGAGTCAATGGCCAATTTTCGCAAATCATAGAAATACAATTTCTAATAAATAGTATAACCAATTATGCAATAATCAAGATATGAAAGTAATCAATTTTAGCACAATTGTAAAAGAGATAAGGGAAGAGAAATTGCAAACAATAACACGGCGATTTTTGTGAGGT